GGAAAGGAAGAAGTCAAATTACCAATTTGTAGACAACATAACACTTGAAAGACCGTTCTTTAGAATCACTATGTGTTGGGCCCCAGCCCCATGGGGTCTCTGTGAGTTGCTGGTCAGCCTATAAGTGCAACTTGTTTTCCAGTTCAAGTGCTTTCTGTTTTCTAGTTCTGGCTTACTGCCCTGGCCTTGACCCTCTGACATCAACATCTAGCAGGAGGAAAACATGCTCTCTTCTACCTGGGGATTTTTCCACTGTGCTGTAAACCTGTATATAAAGCTCCTCCCTCCTACAAGAGAGCTCTTAGTATTTGTAATAAAGACTCCTCCTTCTCTCTCTCTCTCTCTCTCTCTCTCTCTCTCTCTCTCTCTCTCTCTCTCTCTCTCTCTCTCTCTCTCTCTCTCTCTCTCTCTCTCTCTCTCTCTCTCTCTCTCTCTCTCTCGCAGCAAAGGCAACACATACATTCTCTTAGTACAAACAACACTACCCAGAAGGTTGGTGTTCAAGGATGAATAAAAAGGAAAAATTGAACTGAGTACCAGTGAGGGAGGGATCTCTGTGATTAAGTCAGGTTTATTACACAGGTGCAGAATATAAAGTACATTCACAATACAGAACGAGGATCCTTTCATTCCCAAGGGCGACCAGGGAGGTCCGGGGAAGGTCACCAAGCTGCTGCTGCCAGTGAGCCCTCCACAGTCTAAGAGAACGTCCTTCACTCCCCCCAAGACCACGCCCATTGGACCAAGCCGCTCCAATATAATTGGTTATCGGATCGAATTCCCACAACAGAGCACCAATCATCTCTCATTGCTTCTTGACTTTAGATGCAAGGCCACACGCTCCTGTTGCCAGGCTTTCCCAGCTGTGAGAGATTGTATCCTTGAGCTCTGTGTGCAGATGAACCCTTTCTTCTTTATGTTGCTTTTATCAGGGATTTGATATCAGCAACAGAAGTAACCCATACAGATGGGGAACTTCGTGACGGTCCTTCTCTGCATATATTGAGATGGTCATGTGATCTATGCCCTTAAGTCTGTTTATGTGTTTTATTACATTTATTGAATCATTCTTGCATCCTTGGGATGAAACCAACTTGGCCACAGTGTATGATCTTCTTAATTGCTGTTGAATCTAGTTTGCAAGTATGCTCTTGAGGGTTTTTGCATCAAGGTATTGGTCTGTAGTTTCCGTGTGTGTGTGTGTGTGTGTGTGTGTGTGTGTGTGTGTGTGTGTGTGTGTGTTGATCTGACTTTGGTGTCAGGGTACTGCTGGCTTTATAGGATGAGTCTAGTACTGTGCCTTCCTGTTCTGTTCTATGGGGGAGTTTGAGTGTTGCCATCAGCTACTCTTTAAGAGCATGGTAGAATTCAACAGTGAGTCCATTCAGTGCTGGGCTTTTATTTCTTAGGAAATGCTCAGTCTTGTTTGCTATGCATCCGTTTAAATTGTTCATAGTATCTTGATTTAAGTGGGTAGGTCATATATGTCCAGGAATTTTTCCATGTCTTTGAGACTTCCTAGTTTGCTTGGGATATAAGTTTCTAAAATATTCCCTAATGCTCTTCTGGATTTCACTTGGATCTATTGTAACAGTCCCTCCCTTCATCTAATTTTATTAATTTGGATGATCTTGATTTCTTTTGGTTAGACTTGTTAACCACTTGGCAATCATTTATTGTTACTGTAGTCTTAGTTACACCAATTTTTACGTCAAATTACATCAATTTTTGTTTTAATTTTCATTATTTATTCTTTATTGCCTTGGGTTTGGCTTGTTATTTTTTTTTAATAAGGTCTCCGGATGCATCATTAAATTATCTACCTGTAATCTCTGATATTTGCTTAATGTTAACTCTAAATTATCCTCTTGGAATTGCTTTAGCTATATCTCTGAAGTTCTGACAAGTTTGTCTTAATTTTAATTTGATTCTAGGAATTTAAAACAATTTCTTATTTATATTTTTAACAACATATTGTCCATTCCAGAGTGTATTCTTAAGTCTCCAAATATTTGTGCTGTTACTGTGGTTTCTCATGATATTTATTTCTAGTTTTATACAAGAAATCATTAGGTTCTCTTGTATTTGTTAACACTTAGATTGTGCCCTTGAATGTGGTCTCTTTTAGAAGAGGTTCCGTGGGCTGAGAGGCATGTGTATTCCATGTCTGTTTGATGGAATTTTCTGTAGATGTGGTTGTCAAGCTGATTTCATCTATGGGGTAGTCTGGGTCATCTATACATAGATGAAAATGAAGTATTGTATCAGGACCCATCTAGTGTTTTATGGTGTAAAAGTGGAGCCTAGGTTGCCTTGGAAACCTCCAAATGTTGGAGAAGCCAGAGCAGTGAGATATCCACCAGGGAGAGCTGCAGACAGGGGGTGGAGCAAGCCTAAGAGGCAGACGTGTGCTGCCCTCAGCAAAGCTGGAGGGGGAGAGCCATCCGAACCTTTGGCATCAGGCATGGAGTTATAAGATTGGAAGTTTTCCCTGCCGGGATGAGCTCATGCTTGCTTTGGTCCAGCATTTCCTTCATTCCTTGCTATGCCTCCATCCTTCCCGTTTGGAATGGTAATGTGCAATCTGTGCCATTGATGTTGGAAGTACATAATTTGATTTTGACTTTACAGAGGATGACAATAAAGAGACTGCCTCGAGTCTCAAAAGAGACTTTAGCCTTTTAAACTATGTTGAATTCTGAAAGACTATGGGGACTTTTGAAGTTGAACCAAATATATTTTGCATTATAATAGGGCCGGGAGTAGAATGTGGTACCTTGAATGCGAATGACTCCTACAGGTTCGTGTAATGGAATACTTGTTCCCTGTTGGTGGCGCTGTTTGGGAAGGTTTAGGAGGCGTGGCCTTGTTGGAGGAAGTGTGTCACTCAGTGGTTTCAAAAACTCACGCCATTCTTGGTTAGCTTTCTCTGCCTCCTGCTTTTGGACAGGGATGCCAACTCTGGGCCTCTGTTTTAGCACCACGCCTGCCGGCTGCCATGGTTCCAGCCATGATAGTCATGGACTCTAACCCTCAGAGACTGTGAGCCCCAGTAAACTTTTCTCTAAGTTGCCTTGGTTATGATGTCTTTTCACAGAAATATAAACGTAACTAAGAATGAGTATAAGGGGAAATATGAAACAAAAAACCCCAGTAAGATAAACTCAAAACACTTCTAAAAATCTGCATAAGTAAATGTACAAAGGGGGAACTCCAAATGGCATATTGTGTGCCATGCAGAGTTGATCCTGTGATGAGTCCATTGTTTGCCGGAGCTATCTTAACACCAGTAGCTCCCTTCTTTGTACACAGTGCTTCTACTGGCTAGCCACCCTTTATAGTCAGTGTGCCAAACCGGTTCTTCCGCTCTTCCAAGTTTGCTCCCCCTGGTGTGGGTGATGTTCTAGGGGAGTCTTCCAAGAGCATTGAGAGTGGAGGAAGCAACCACAGGGGAGGACCACAGGGGAGGACCACAGGGGAGGACGGAACTGGAGAGCCTGTCTCCACACTTCCAGAACCCTCTAAGCATTCATTGCCCCGCTGCAAAGAAGCAGTTGTCGATGCTGAGTGCTCTGCTGGGGCTTCAGAGCTATCTAATGACATCAGCAGCCTGGCAGCACACAGCTGGCAAGAGGCCTGTCTGCTCTGCTGATCCCTGGCTCGGGGCTGTCACGCTCTGGAATTATTCTCAGCCAACGATGTGTGCTCTCAGCCACCAAGAGAGGAACCATCTTCCCTATGCGCTTGACTGCCTGAGGCACGCCTGCTGCCGCTTCTTGCCATCTGTCCTTCCCACTCTCCACAGCGAGGAGGACTGTCCAGGGCTGTCTTCTCACCCTGCAGCTGGGTCAGTTTGAACTGGGGCCCCTGCACTTGGGACTGCTCCCTGTTCCCAAGCCTCAAGAGCACTCATTCTTACACTCTAGGTTACCCCTCAAGCATCATGGCACCTAGCTGCAGTCCTCTGAGCCAGGGCAGCTTCCCTGATGGCTGACTCCTCCTGCAGGGGAAGTCACTACTTCAGCAAGACTCACAACGGGATTTGAGCCTTGTGAGGGCTATGGACTGGCCTTGTGGGTAGGATTGCCATATGGGTAGGACTATCATGGCGGTCTAGCATAGTCTTTCTATGCAGGCCGCCTTCTGCCTCACTCCTTGGCCCAGCCTAGAGCTGGGCTAGTGTTCACCCTGGCATCCTTCTCTTCGGTGCTCCTCCCTACTTATCTCTGTACTCCCCTCTGTCTTATCACTCCTTTTGTGGATTTCCGAACTCTTTCTTCCTCGGTTTCCTTCTTTGGAACAAAGTCTATATTTTATTTTTTTCTTATCCTGGCACCTCTCCTTTGCCAGGCCACACAGAGGTAGGTTCTAGTCTGCCATCTTACCTGGAAGTCATTTTCTCTGACTGTTTAATATAGACACGGATAATCAGCTACACATTTTTTCCCCTGTGTCCAAAGCTATTATATATTGGGTTTTCATTTTCATTTGTTTCTAGAGAATTTAAAATTTTCTCCATTGATTTCCTCAGTGGCTTGCTGAGTGAAGCCTTTTCCTTGCCAGCCGCTTTGGTTTTTTCCCCACCAGTCGCCTGGGCTCTGCCACGTTGTAGTCCCCAAATAACACACAAGACGCCGTATTAATTATGAAGCTGCTGGCCGTTTGCTTGTTTCTTGCTGGCTATCTCTGACTTAAGTATTCACCACATAACTGCAGGGTGCCTGACTCTCGGCAGGTGCTTTGCAAAGGTTTACTGTTGTGGAATATCATTTTGAGATACATTACATTTGGTTATGCTGTGGAACATTGGCTTAATGACGCAAAGATGGTTGCATTGTTTTATGCTGCATTTGTTTAACTCTGTGAAGCTGTGTTACTTTGCCTGTCTAAAACACCAGGTTGGTCTAATAAAGAGCTGAATGGCCAGTAGCTAGGCAGGAGAAAGGATGGGTGGGGCTGGCAGGCAGAGAGAATAAATAGGAGAAATCTGGGAAGAGAGATCCGGGGAGCAAAGGAGATGGAGAGGACTCCAGGAGCCAGTCACCAGCTACACAGCCAGTCATGGAGTAAGAAGTAAAGTAAGGTACATAGAAATAGAAAAAGGTAAAAGCCCAGAGGCAAAAGGCATATGGGATAATTTTTAAAAAGCTGGCTAGATCCCAGCACTCGGATGGCAGAGGCAGGCGGATCTCTGTGAGTTCGAGGCCAGCCTGGTCTACAGAGTGAGTTCCAGGACAGCCTCCAAAACAATACAGAGAAACCCTGTCTCAAAAAACCATAAAAAAAAAGCTGGCTAGAAATAAGCCAGGCTACGCCTGGGCAATTATAGGTAAGAATAAGTCTCCGTGTATTTGTTCGGGAACTGGGTGGTAGGCCCCTAAGAGTAAAGAAATAAAACAATTAACTACAGTTTATTAAATGGAAGCTAGAGACACAGATCTTCCCTGATGCAAAGACTGTTGCCATCTTTGATGTCAGTATCACTTATGTTGGCTGGGGTGCTGCTGTCCCTACATTCTGCATTTGAAAGGGGCATGATGTACCATCCTTCTTTACAAGAAAGCCCCACCCACTAGGGTGCAATGCTCATCTACAGGAGAATGGCCTGGGACAAAGACCCTGCAATCATTTCCCATTGTCTCCTTTTCTTACTCTCCGTAGTGCAGCTCATCCCTCAAACTGTGAGTTTTGGCTGATGTGGAAGTGTGAGGATACGGCTAACAAAGTCTTTGGGGAAATCTGTTTGGGACCAGACTGCCCATTCACGCATGGCCCAGCTTCTCCCCACTTCCCTGAGGGCATTTTTGGAAGATCGTGGCAGCCGGATAACCCTTGGTAACTCTCTGGGCCTCTTGAGACTTCTGTGTGTGTGGGATGCCTAGGATAGTGGTGTAACGCAGTGACGGGGCTTTTAAAGAAAGAACGATTCAATGGCATGTCTAAGTGTGACTATTCTGGACCGTCACAATAGGTAAAGGGATCATAGCGATGGGATTTGGGAACAAGGAAGCGAGTGGCCACTAGGAAGTACAGCCAAGAAGCAAGGCTGGGTCAGTGAGTGGAATCCTCAGGGCGAGGGCTTGGCTTAACCCAGTGATTTGTGGCTCAGTGACCCTTGTCATCGCTGAGACTAAGTCTCTGGCAGAAAGCAAGCCATGGGGGGATGGGTTTGTTTGGCTCCTGGTTTGAGAGGGCACCGGAGTCTGTCATTGTGGGAGGCATGGCAGGCTGTGGCTGGCACACCTCAGATCTGGGCAGGCCCGGGGGCAGAGAGGCAAGACCGGTGCTCAGAGGGCTCTCTCCTTTCTCCTTTTGTGTCCTGCCCAAGCTTCAGCTCACAAGATGGCGTCGCCCACGTTAGGGTAGGTGCTCCCTCCTCATTTCAACCACTCTAGTAAGGCTCACCCAAAGATTTGACTTACTACTGCCCTACGAGTTTCTTTACTCAGTCACGTTGACAATCAGAACTAGCCAGCATAGCCACCTAACAGTATTTTTGATGAAGCCAAATCAGGTGATCAGATGTCACTCAAAGGTTAGTGGAGGGTCAGGGACCCCAGGACAGTAATGCTGAACAGAGTGGAGATTGAGGGATTCTTTATCCTACCTACCCACCTACCCACCTATTCACCTACCTACCTACCTACCTACCCACCTACCTACCTACCTACCCACCCACCCACCCACCCACCCACCTACCCACCTACCTACCTACCCACCCACCTACCTACCTACCTACCCACCCACCCACCTACCTACCCACCCACCCACCTACCTACCTACCCACCTACCCACCTACCTACCTATCTACCTACCTACCCACCCACCCACCCACCTACCTACCCACCCACCTACCTACCCACCCACCCACCCACCCACCTACCTACCTACTCACCCACCTACCTACCTACCTACCCACCCACCCACCTACCTACCCACCCACCCACCTACCTACCTACCCACCTACCCACCTACCTACCTATCTACCTACCTACCCACCCACCCACCCACCTACCTACCCACCTACCTACCTACCTACCTACCCACCCACCCACCCACCTACCTACCCACCTACCTACCTACCCACCCACCCACCCACCCACCTACCTACCTACCTACCTACCCACCCACCTACCTACCTACCTACCCACCCACCCACCTACCTACCCACCCACCCACCTACCTACCTACCCACCTACCCACCTACCTACCTATCTACCTACCTACCCACCCACCCACCCACCTACCTACCTACCCACCCACCCACCCACCTACCTACCCACCTACCCACCTACCTACCTATCTACCTACCTACCCACCCACCCACCTACCTACCTACCCACCCACCCACCTACCTACCCACCTACCTAGCTATCATCTGTGTGTGTGTGTGTGTGTGTGTGCGTGTGTGTGTGTGTGTGCGTGTGCGTGTGTGTGTGTAGGGGAGCAGTTGTACATGTGTGAGTGCGCGAGTGCCCGCCTGTGTGTATGTGTGGGTCACAGGACAAGTTGAAGGAGCTAGTTCTCTCTTCCAGCACTTTCTGGGGACTGAACTGACATGGTCAGGTCTGGTAGCAAGCCCCTTTACCACCGGGCCGCCATGATAATGGGCACGTTCTTGAGAAGGTGACTTGGCAGAGTTCTTTGTTGAAAGTAGATTTTATGAGACATGCGCAGAAGGTCCAGGAGCCTGACCTAAGTTTGGTCAAGCAAAGAGTCTTTGTTCATTTCGTGGGGGAGGCCAAAGTGAGCCTGGGAGGTACAGAGGCAGATGGTGTCAGGCCACAGAAGGGAAGCATGTGTGGCGCCCTGTGACTGTTGCCGGGAAGGACTGAGCACGAGAGGTGTGGCAGGGGAGGGATCACGACCGATGCCATCACACACAACCCAGGGCAATGAAGACGCATCCCTGGGAGCAAAGCCCTGGTCAGGAGCGATGGCTCCCATCCCCAGCCCAGATAGTGCCCTCCTCCACAGACCCAGGCAGGACTTGGTTTCTTTGATGACAGAGCCGCTCTGCAGCCTCTCCCAGCTCATGTTCGCTCACAATGCTCTCCATCATGCCGGCAGCGTGAAGGCCATCTCTCTTCACTCTTGGATCTGGGTGATTTATTTGAGTATAGAAAACTGTGAGGCTCACTGAGATTTCCTGAACAAAACCAAATAGTCTTTATACCCAAAGTACACAGGAAACAATGGTGGTAACGTCACAACCAGTCAGGAAGTGAGGGCAAAATGGCAGCTGTGAAAGTCTCTTTGATGTTTCATTGGCTCCACCTTGTGGCAAAATACAGTAATGCTCTTTGGAGGGAAAAAAACATTTAATTCAGCAATGCGAATGGAAATCTCTTAAAACCAGCGAAACATACCGATGTATTTAGCAATATACTGATCTCAAAACCCCTTGGAATATGATACTGATATCACATGTGATATCTTATCTGTCATAATAGATCTATCATCTATTACGCATCTATCTATCTACTTACCTATTATCTACCTAGTTATAACCTATCTATTGTCTACCTATTTATAATCTATCTACTGTCTATCTGTCTTCATCATCTATCAGCTCGCCTTTATAACACGCACAGATGGACTCTGTCCCTGACAGTCCTTTGCTTTCGTTTGTCCCCTCTGGCTGAGGCTCGGTGGCTGAGTAACCGCTTTCTGAAAACGACCACACCTTAATCTTCAGAGCCCGCACTCACTGTGCTGCTTTGCAGGGTAAAAGAGACTTTGAAGACATGATGCTAAGGATCTTGAGATGGGGAGGGACTCCTTGATTGTGCAGGTGGACCCAGTGTCATTACAGAGGCCCTTTTGATCCAGTCAGGAGTGGGAAGCCAGGGTATGAGGTGATCTGAGGAAGAGATCCCAAGCGCAGGAGTGCAGCCAGTTTCTGGACCCTGCGAAGGGCAAGGGCATGAACTTCTCCTGCATGCAGGAGGGGCTCTAAGTTCACTCCAGTGGTACGGAGCGGGGGCCTTCAGCTCTCGAGTAACTCCACTGTTACAGCGCCACACTTCACAGAGCCCGAAGGCTGAACAGGCCTTTCCCTGTGCTCTGGGGGCTGGTTCTCAGGCACACCACTCAGGGCGTGGCTGGGAGCAAGTTTCCCAGCGAAGGCAGTGGAAGGCAGATTCTTTGTGGGATGCTGGGGTGACACTCAGGTCTCGCTGCACCTTTGGGGTACGCTGCTTCAGGTGGCTTAAGGATGAATGAGTCCATCCGGCCTCTGATGCCTGGCAGGGCCAGGATCCTCACTCCCCACTGGCCCCCCTACACTGTATTATTTTCTGTTTTAAAGGCCTCAATTTGTGTATGTTAATTATGCACTGTGACAACATCACCCTTGCATATAATGTATTTTAATATTAATCCCTGGTTACCTTCTCTGGTCTCCTCCCACTCTGATGATCCCCCTCTTCCCAGTTAGTTTCCCTTCTTTCAAAACATCCCCTCCACCTCTTGGGGGGGCAAAGAATATAATTAGTGTTACTAACAGAAGCAAGGGTGAAAGATTACTTAGTGGCATGTGGGCATCTTAGCAGTGTCTGTGCCACTGAAGAAAAATCTTTCTCCTCCTCTCCCAACAAACTTTGATGCCTGTAGATCCTCAGGTGGGACCTTGCAAAGCATCCCTCATCCATGACAATGTTTAGAGGCCTGATCTCTTATCGCTTGGTTACAAAACATTTTAGCAACATTTTATTAATTCTTTGAGAATTTCATACAATGTATTTGACCACATTTACCCCACATTCCTACCCCAGCTCCTCCCATCACCACCCTCTCCGATCCTTCCCACCCAACTCTGAGATTTTTCTTTTTCCCCATCAAGTCCAGTCTATGTTGCCCAGCTAGTCTCGGGGGCGGAGCCTGTCCTAGTGTGTTGTCAATCTCTCAGGGATCATATCATTAAGGAAGACTGCCTCTCTTCTCCCAGAAGCTGTCCAATAGCAATTGTTCCTCGGCTTGTGGTGGGGTTTTATGTCCGTCTTCTACTCTCTACATTGGGATTTTCTCTGGTTGGATTTGCACAGGTCTTGTGCACGTGGTCATAATTGCCGTGAGTTTGTTATGGCGTATTCTCCAGAGAAGACTGCTTGGACATGGATCTAAACCAATAGAAATCTTTATTAGCAATCCACAGACATACTGGGTGTTCCCGAACCCAGTGTAGCACTGAACATTTTAGGCACAAAACCATGTCCTGGCTTGACATACTTCAGTTAACAAAAACAGTTAGCCAGAAGCAGAGCTATAGAAGCCAAAACCAAGGTTAGTACATTTAGAGACTTTCCCAGAACTACGGACTTTGATGGGTTAGGTCTTTGTTTTCATTTTTAGCAGGTGGTGCTGTGTATGTGCTGAGTTTTGCAGCCTGAATGGTATTTTTACCATCGAGTCAGTTGTGCTAAGGTCTGGGGGCCCTGTTGCAAGTTCAGGTGTGTATCTGTCTGGGAAACAGTTTCCTTGATGTTATTGACCACCTCTGGCCCCTACACTCGCCCTGCCCCCTCTTTCACCATTTATTTTAGGGTACCATTTTTGACTGGGGTTCCAGGCTCCAGGCCTCTGTGGTGTTTCTCAGGTGGATCATCCCCGAGTGGGAAAGGATCTCCCAGGGCCTGGGTGAGGCGTCAGGGCCTGGGGCTGCCTGTGAGAGATGGTGCTCTCCTCGAGGACCACAGGGCTTGCTTGTTCAGGAATGTGCTGAGAGGACTCCATGAGTGAAATTCCTTTCATCCGGGACCACGGTATTTGCTCTGGAATGTGCTGGGACTGACTCACTTGGCTCAGAAGATAACAAGAGGATACTGGGGGTGGGGAGCTGGCGGGGTTTCAAACACATTGCTATTTTCCAGTTTGCAGTTACATGGGCCGTGCCAGCCTTCACAGCACGGCTTTATGTCTGTGCCCTCTCAGAACTTCTGGCTGGGGATGGCCAGTAGGCGGAATGCAGATAACAATGGAGACCCCTTGTCAAAGGATTCCCATTTCTATTTCTGGCTATGATCATCAGGTGGCAGCGTCCAGGGCCTTGGAGGCAAGAGGAGCGTGACCCTCCCCTGTGGTGTTCTGTTTTGTATTGTCATCACGCAGGTCACTTCCCGTGACTTCTAGTTATGCTTGGAAGGGTTTGCTGCATCCGTTTTTCCATCCATCATGACCCCTCTTGCTGGGATCGCGGATCTCCTTGTCAGGCTGAAGACTTTGTAGCACAGTCCCCTTTCCTCCCGGTCGTCTGGGCTTTGACCCTGGAGGTTTAATCTTTTGAGGGTATTTTCTTCCCTTCATGACAACATGCCAGGCCACCTGCAGCTGACTGCTGGAGTTCTGGCTCCCTTTTCTTTGTCCTCAGACGTCCTGCAGGAAGCCCTACACTAACAGCACCGAGGGTCAGAACACGTATCGGACTGACTGATCCTGTAACTTATGGTGTCAGGGACCAGAGGAGACAAGAGCTCTCCCCACTGGGTCAGTGGGTGACTCTGCTGTGACCTGGGGCTATTCCCCCCTCTTTCGTGGACGCCTAGACCCTGTGTGCTGGGAGCTATTTGCCACTGTGACGCCTTCTATCTAGTGACCCAAAGGGGATGGCAGTGACCTGTCTGTTATTTGTTTCCTGATTGGGACTGTGGATTGTTGCGCTTGGGGCCTGCCAGAACGTTCATCCAAGGCCCACCCTGGGCTGGGATGGAGGCTGGCCCAGCCTTCCTGGGTTCTCTTGGAGGACTTTTCTCTTGGCAAACACCGAGGTTTCCATGTTTGTATGTGGTGTGAGAACCTGCAGGCTGAAAACACTGCAGTAAAATGGGTTCTGCAAGGCCTTAGGAAGTGGAGAACTTCATCCCCGGCTGTGTTCAGAGGTGGGTCTGTGGGGGTCGCTGGGATTAGGTGAGGACATTAGGGCTGGTCTCATGTCTGTGGGAGGTTTTAAAGAGAGAGAGGAGGTGCATGTGCAAACTGAGGGGACACACACACACACACACACTCACTCACACATACACACATTCACAAACACATACACTCATACACACATACACACTCACACATACACATATTCACAAACACATACACTCATACACACATACACACTCACACATACATGCACACACACTCACACATACACACATTCATAAACACATACACTCATACATACATACACACATTCTCACTCACACACACACACACACACTCACACTCACACACATACTCAAGAGCTTTCAAGAGAAGGCCGCATGAGGTAAGGCCTTTAGGCCTTATACTTCCAGAAGTTGGAACACAAAAAGGTTTTTTCTCTACAGTTAGCCTCAGGCATTTTATTAGTAATGAAAATAGATTTGTATAACAAATTTCAAACTTATGGAAAAAATAGTACCAAACCCTCCTGCATATATCATTTGCCCAGACTTACCAACTGCTTACTTTTTTTTATTGTTGGGTTTTTTTTTGCCTTGTTCTACTGCCTGTATCTACCTACTGTATCTCTACCATCTATTTATTTACCTACTATTATATGCATATCACATATATATGTCATTATTTATCTGCATATGTGTGTGTCTCTGTTTCTTAACACCCGAGAACTGGTTGCAGACATTAAACAGTTGAAGGCGCATTAAGGACTGGGTACTTAAAACAGTTGAAGGCGCATTAAGGACTGGGTACTTAGCACTGATATATAGTTATCCTCTAACCCATAGTTTGTATATTAAATTCATTCCTTTCTCTTATAGCTGTGGGAGCATGCCCTGGTAAACGGCCCAGTGCAGGCGCATGGAATGCATTCAGGTGTAATATCTCTTCAGCCTTCTTTAGGCCACAGCAGTTTCTCAGTTTATATTGTCTCTCACGACCATGACATGTTTAAAGAACACAGGATATGGTTGGTGCGATGCCTGCTGTTTGGGTTTATTTGCTCTTTGCACGAGATTGAGATATGATTTTTTGGGGGGGGCAGTAACATCACAGGAGTGGTGTGCCCTTTGTAGGACATTGATTTATTTCATTCCTGGTGATGCTAGTTCTGATTATCCAGGCAGGGCAGGGACTGCTGGTTTCTCCATTACTGAGTTATTTCCTCCTTTGTAATTAACCAATCGTTTGTTGGGACATACTTTGACATCACATGCTTTCTCTTATCAAACTTTCACCTACTAGTTATAGTCTTTGTAACAGGGGTTCCAAGACCTTGGCACAGCTGACTCCATGTACCATTCAGGCTGTAAAACTGAGCACACAGGCAGTATCACCTGCCAAAACTAAAACAAAGGCCTAATCCATCAAAGTCCACAGTTCTGTGAGAGTCTCTGAGTGGGACTAACCTTGCTTTTTCTGGCTTCTGGATAACTGTTCTTGTTAACTTAAGTATGTCAAGCCAGGACATGGTTTTTGTGCTTAAAAGCTCACCCCGAGAGAGGTTTGGGGCCACCCTGGGATCCTGAACACGCAGTGTAGTCACCAGCTGGCTAATAAAGTCTGAGCAATCTTCTCGGTGGACGCCTCAGAACCGCCTTCATCAGTATTTCTTGTCTGAACCAACCACTGTTAATGATCACTATAAATTAGTGTTTTAAATCTTTAATGATGCCTTCTTCCTTTGCTGGCAGCCATTTCAGGATTAGAAGGAGCTTCCCTGCCAGCAGTTATGTAGATCGGGTTACCCGGAATCTCACTTACTCAGGCCTTAGAATGCATCACCATTATCCCTTGTCTTGATGCGCCCCACGACCCTGATTTTTACAAGGGTTTGTCCCTTCAAGCCCTCCTGTCATGTCCCCATCATTCACCGAGAAAAAGATATTCCAGTGCCTTTTTACAGATGTTCTGCTGCCTGCTCTGCGATGAACTGTTTCTTGAGGAGCCACGGTCTCTTTCACGTGGAAACTGAGGTCCCTAACTGCTAAGAGAGTAGCCATGCTTCCAGGCCCTCGAGGTGGGCAGACCTCTCCTGTGTAGACAGTGCCCAGTAAACAGGCCCCCAGGACGTTCTCCCTCTCCAGTAGAATGTTTAACTGCCTCCTTTTTGGCTTGTTCTTCTCCCTGGGAGCAGGGCACAAGCCTATAAAGTCACACTTTAACATGTAGACTTCTTAACCCTGGACAGATGCACATGGTCTCTATCAGGTTAAAAGAAAAATAATGAAAATGGAAACGGAACTCAAAACAAAAATCAAATTTGGAAACCCCCACTTTTCTTGTGTGGTGTCAACCAGTTTGTGTCTTCTTGAACCAGTCTTTTTATCCAGTTGGTTCTTTTATTCCTTAAGCGACTCATAAAAAATAAGGTACCTGTCAGGTGGTTGCGGCACACGCCTTTAGTTCCAGGCTTCAGGAGGCAGAGGCAGACCCATCTCTGTGAGGGCAAGGCCAGCCTGATCTACAGAGCGAGTTCCAGGACAGCCAGGGCCACACAGAGTAACCGTGTCTTCAAAAAACAACAACAATAAACAACAAATTAGGCTTATGAGAGGGGTTGTGACCACCGCGGGGCTGCCCAGAGAGGAGGACCTCTGAACTCTCACCTTGGTACAAGCCTCCAGGCCTGCTGAGACCCTTGCCCTGTCCCTGCCACCCAGCAGCCTGGCCTCGCCCTGCCGCCGCCCTCCTGGGCTGCTTTGAGCACCAGTGCAACGAGAGGGCGCTGCGTGAGGTCAAGGGCTGCAGAAAGACAACAGGCTTACCGGCCCCACCCTGCCCCGCCCGCTGCTGGGTGCTGGAGACTGAACGGATGAGGATCCTGCGTGTTAATGGGTTTAACGGAGATAGAGAAGGCCACCAAAGTGCAGGGCATCAAAAACAACCTGAAGGAGGCCTCTGAAAGCGTCGTGGCCCCCATGAGGAACCTGGTGCCCCCAGGGGAGCTAGCCAACGCCGAGAACCAGGTCTGAGTGGACACCATTCTGAACTGAACGTGCACAGCTTTGACCTCCCTCGTGAATTTTACCTGCACGCCAAGGCTCCATGGGTGGTTGAGCGAGTGCGAGCCTGCTACCAGTGTTCCAGTGAGCACCAGCTGCCTGAGCCCAGGGCTTCCCAGACAGGCTCAGTGTGAACGAGCAGCCTGACCATGTGCCAAGCGACTGGGACCTGCGTCTCTACCACATTCTGACCCCTGGGATCTTTGAGGTCAAGTTCCAGGTGGACAAAGTCAACTTCCACTTGTTAGAAGTGGGTAGCCAGTGCTGTGAATGCTACGCGTGGATCACGTGTGTCAGTGACTCCATCTTGGGTGACTGAGGCCATCTTCGTGGTGGCCGACAGCAGCTACAGACAGCACGGGAGGACAACACAGACCATCTGCCGGCAGGAGGCGCTGAACCTCTTCAAGAGCATCGCAGATGGCTGAGAGCCTCTTCCTGAACAAGCAACACCTGCTTGCTGAGAAAGTCCTCTCCGGGAGATCCAAGACTGAGGACTATGGGATTAGCCCTCCACTCTCCTCTTGAGGATGCGACTCCCCAACCCGGAGCGGACCCCTCTGCCCCCTGGGTTAGCTACTTCATGCGGGATGAGTTTCTGAGATTCAGCACTGCTTGTGGAGATGGGCACCACTACCGCGCCCCTTACTTTATGTCCCGTGAACACCGAGAACACTTTAGACGGCTGCCATGACATTGCCCAGCACATGCGTCTCTGCCAATAGGAGATGTTCAAAGAAGGGGACACCTAAATTTAATTCAGCCTTAAGCACAAGCAATTAGGGGTGAAACAGAATTGTACAACCAATCGATCATTTGCCACAGGGCTGATTAACGATGCAACCTTTTCCTGGAGTGATTCTGAGCCCCCATTTCCCTTCCCTATAGCTTGCTTAGATGTTCCAAATTTAGTACGCTTTCTACAGAAGAAAAAGAAATAGGTCACAAAAGTGCTCTCTCACTTTCAGTAAATAAAATAAAAGCAGCAACAAACAGCAAGAAAGAAAGAAATGAAATACATGTTGTGCCGTGTAGCATTAAAACATCAAAATTAAATGTGAACAAAAAATTAGGTGCTCACTTAGTGTTTATCAGGATGAATACATATAGTTTAGCCATAAGCATTTATGCTTTGCTATGTGAGCTTGTTGACCTGTAATTCAAAATGAGCCCCTCATGGTTTATTTTAACTTTTTCTCCCCATCTTTGTAGTTCTCAAGCAAGAAACATGCCTTTTGTCCTTCTGGTATTCCAAGAATACATGGGAAGTGTTTCTGAGTTACTAACCCGTATGACCATGAAAATAAAGAAAGGCTAAGTAGTGTTCAATATATGTTTATAGTGTGTGTGTCTGGTGTGTCTGTGTGTGTGTGTGTGTGTGTGTGTCTGTGTGTGTCTGTGTGTGTATGTGTGTGTCTGTGTGTGTATGTGTGTGTCTGTGTGTGTATGTGTGTGTGTCTGTGTGTGTGTGTCTGTGTATGTGTGTGCGTGTGTGTGTGTCTGGTGTGTATGTGTGTGTATGTATGTATGTGTGTGTGTCTGTGTGTGTGTCTGTGTGTGTATGTGTGTGTGTATGTGTGTGTCTGTGTGTGTATGTGTGTGTCTGTGTGTGTGTGTATGTGTGTGTCTGTGTGTGTATGTATGTGTGTGTGTCTGTGTGTGTGTATGTGTGTGTGTCTGTGTGTGTGTCTGTGTGTCTGTGTGTGTATGTATGTGTGTGTGTCTGTGTGTGTATGTGTGTGTCTGTGTGTGTGTATGTGTGTGTCTGTGTGTGTATGTATGTGTGTGTGTCTGTGTGTGTGTGTATGTGTGTGTGTCTGTGTGTGTGTGTGCGTGTGTGTGTGTCTGGTGTGTCTGTGTGTGTGTGTGCGTGTGTGTCTGGTGTGTATGTGTGTGTATGTATGTATGTGTGTGTGCGTGTGTGTGTGTCTGGTGTGTATGTGTGTGTATGTATGTATGTGTGTGTGTCTGTGTGTGTGTCTGTGTGTGTATGTGTGTGTGTGTGTGTGTGTGTGTATGTGTGTCCTAGCACTGGGAGTCACACCCAAGGTCTTGCCCATTTTTTGATCAAAGTCCCTTCAGTCGCTTTTTTCTTTGTCCTATCTGATAAGAAGTTTCTCCCATCCAAGTGCTAACCAGGCCTGACCCTGCTTAGCTTCCAAGATAGTGTGAAGATTGAATGAATTCAGGGTGCTGTGGTGTAGATGTACTTTCTAATCTGAACTATGCTTAGGAAAAACTGTCTTGGTTTGTTCTGTTATCTTTAGCTAGAAGATTCTCACATACAGACAATTTTTTAAAATGCAAGATGGCCATGCAAAGGGAACCAGTGAATATCCATGTTACAGAATGCCTTCTTTTTTCTTTTTTTAAGATTGTGTATCCCTCATTTCTGAAAAGTGGTTTGGATTTACCAACAACTCGCTAGTGTTCCAGCCTTTGCTGCTCCCCTAATGATCCGTTAGTTCCACACCCTGTGGGAAACGACTGGATTGGCACACTTTAATTAACTCCACATTGTTTTCCTCTATTTAGGATTCTGAGAAATTGACACTTCTCCAGAGGACCCCAGCTAATAAACAGCAATCCCAGTTCCCTAGAGCTGAACCATCCGGAGTCAGTTTTAAGCAAGCGTTTGCATGGAGTATTCAAATGTGTGTACGGCATTAGCATACTTCTGGTGTGTGGGGGGGGCATTTAATGCCTCATGTCAATGACATCTTAAGTTTTAGTTTTTTATAGTTGGGCTGTGTGCTTTGCTCTCAGTTTTTAAATAGCTGACTGTGTGATTTACATCCTTGCCAGGAATAGAACTTAACAGAGTCTAAGTGGACACAATCTGGAATTTGTTTTTAAAACTATTCCTCAACTTCATCACTCTTTCCCCTCTTAGTGGTATCGGCTCATGTTGTCTGTCTTCCCTGCATATTGTTTTACACGTTTAAAAACCCTTTATAGAGGTGCGTGAAGTTCATTCACATGCAGGTTTATACAGTAGGGCAAGCACTCCTCTCTTCTTCTGGGCACATTTGAAATAACCAAATTAACATGTGTGTACCCCAGGGTTATAAGCAATTGATCATATAATTTTCACAATTTTCTGCAAAATGAAAATGTAGCCATCTTCAACGCCCCACCAAAGTGCTATTAACATCACTACAATAAACCAGGTGTGGTGGCTCACGTATTTGGGATTGAGGGAGGAGGATTTTGAGTTTAAGGCAAGGGAGACGTAATACACCAGCTCCTGCCACAAACAAAAGACAACAAAAAGGAGTACCACAAAACTAGCACGTAAAGCTACTCCCTTATTTATTTTCCTAGGCTAGGGAGATAGTGTGGTTGGCAAAATGCTTGAATCTGTATCCCGAGCATCTATATAAAATCTACACAGCATGCACCTATAATCTCAGTACCGGCGAGGTGGAGACAGGATTCCTGGGGCTTGATGGACAGCCAGTCTAGATGAACCAGTGAGGTTCAGTGTTAGTAAGAGATCCTGTCTCAAAAAAGCAAGATGCACCGTGATTGAGGAAGCCACTGAATGTCAACCTCTGGCTTTCACACACACACACACACACACACACCCCTACATAATACACCATACACATATACACACAAACACACATATACAAACAAACATAGACATACAAAAACACACACCCATGCACACATAAAAACACATACAGACACACATGCCTACATACATTCACCACACACACACACACACACACACACTGTCAAACTCCAGCTCAGCATTTACTTCTGGGGAACCAGCAGCAGAGCCCAGGGGACTGGCAACATGGGCCACAACACTGCAGTCCCAGGGCCTTCATGTGGCTTAGTGATCTTCTGTGGCCTAGTTAACAAATATGCAGAAAAATAAGTCAGGAAAATGCTATGATCAATCACATTAATAATGCATTGTGTTATAGAAAATATAATTAAAAGGTATACTATTATAATTTTTAATTTATGCTATTTTTATTCATATGCCATTATTCTCCTTACTATATTTTATAAGTCAAAAGGTGTGTGTGTGGTGAATGTATGTAGGTATGTGTGTCTGTGTGTGCTTTTATGTGTGCATGTGTGTGTGTTTGTATGTCTATGTTTGTATATGTGTGCGTTTGTGTGTATATATATGGTATATTTTGTAGGGGTGTGTGTGTGTATATAAAACATCTGTGGGTAGGAAGGGAAGGAATAGTTTGGGTATTAAGGAGAAATCAATGTGTCACAGTGCGGCAAAGCTCTGCATATCCAAGGCAACACTCTGCTCCATACATGGTCTATCAGAGATACTTCATTAGGCTAAAATGTCTGGGTCTCCACACTTTTCTTTCATCGTGTGTTGCGTCAGAGCCTCTCCAGTGGTTGGGGACATGATGAACCAGGGGTTACCCTCAGGCGGTTTAGAATTGTCCCATTGTAGAGAGTCACCTCCTCCACTAGCTTGACTGCTGTCTTCTGAAGACAGC